AGTTTATCAGGAACAATGTTTTAAAAGTAATATCTAAATTTAAAAAGCGTATAATTAAATGTTTTCTCACAAAATAATTCTAAGCGTATTTGCTTAATACTGTAAAGCAGGCACGAGAGAAAAAAATGCCAAGTTAATGTTGGGTTTTTGCGATACATCTTTAAATCGGATACCTGGTATTTTTTGCTCAACGAATAATTCGGTAACTGCTTTTTTTTTTACTATGTTTTGGGTACTGAAAGAGATGCTGAAAATTTGATTCCTTTTTCTGGAGTTTTTTTTCCTAGTGTATTCTGGTATATAACCCGGGCTCTCTCCTCCACAGAGGCCTCTTCGTGTTGTAGGGAGGCTGGGGAGAAAGAAAAGGAGAGCGCGGGACATGATGGGAAGAGGAAAGAGAGAAGAGTGGAAGAGGGCTTTTTCCCTTTTCCCATCGTACCCGCGCGCTTTCTATTTTTTTCGATTACTGCTATTTTTACTGGGATACCCAGCGGGAGCCTTTGCGGAGGAGTAGAGTAACCCAGCCACGACTCGGATTCATGGAGGCAAGAGAACAAATTTAACAACTCACTGTTCGCAGGTACTGCTGCATATAAAATAAACATTTCTATTTGTTTCTAGGTTAAGGACGAGTTTCGTCCCCACATCCAGGAAACACCGAGAAACAGTTACTTGCAGCTTTACTATCATCGCAGGAAGTTCAGGATTTAAGGACATGCTTGCTTTCCGCGCTTTCTCTTAAAATCCGTCTAGTAAGTTGTTATACTCGTAGGGCACGTTAGGAAAACAACGCGCTTGGCCTTGGGGTGTGCGTTACGCCTGCTAACCTCGTAACTATAAAGAAATTATAGTAAGAGACTTGTTGTTGTAGTCTAGAATTAATCCTCCAGCCAGGAATAACTCCAATCATGTGAGAGGCATTCCTGATTGATGTGATGGCTCGCACTGATCCTTTTCCTTTTCCCTTCCAAACAAGATTAGCTGCTCTTTACCCTTTTAACTTTCACTGGGAAAACGACTTCCGGAAACGAACATGCGCAAGCCGGATTTGCTTTTCAAGCCACATCTTTGCGCACGTATCATACTATTTACTAGCACATTTTTGGAAAAATATCACGGAACCCTGAAAGTGCAATTTAAACGCAGGAGAATTGGAAAAAGTTACTAGACGCTTGTTAATCTGTTATAAAGCGTTCCTTCTTCTCTTTTTTTTTGGCGGGACTTCATGAAAAAAAACTCGCACGAGGTCTTAACATCAGTTTTCTTCTCAGAATATTGCATGCAATATCAGAGAAAAGGTTATGAGAATTTATAAAATGATTACCAAAAGAAAAAATGTCTTGATCTTTTAAAATCGAATTCTCTCAACTTAGTATTCAGTGTGGAAATGTATAGAGTTCAGTCTGGAACATTTTTAAGTGAATATTGGGGCTTTTAAAAAAGGCTAACACCAAAGCGGGAACTAATGCCATGTGGCAGGAAATTTTTGCGGGATTTTTTTTTTCAGTGCGGATTGGCGAATTTTTTTGGTTTTGCGGGAACTAATTTTTGCGATTAGGACAGATTGGTTTTTCTCTCTGGGAATTAATTTTGGTAAGTATTTGGCTGAAGTACATGCTCGAGAGACACGTTTTTTTTATTCTCATGAAGCACGTAAATTCATTTAGAACAGAGCAGTTCAGTCTATAATGTTTAGTTCTATAATTAATTTTTGCGATTTTCAGAAAGTACCCAGCAGCATTGATAATATTTAAAACAGAGCAGTTCAGTCTATAATGTTTAGTTCTATAATTAATTTTTGCGATTTTCAGAAAGTACCCAGCAGCATTGATGATATTTTCGTTTTTGTTAAGTACGACCCTCTCCACTACCCTCCTTCATTTTAAGGTGTGTGTGTGTGTGTATGAAGCCAATATAGAACATGACTTGAATCGTTAGATCAAGAGAACTCGTTGGTAAGAAAGCGTGAACCTTCAAGTGTTACTATGATCAAATTGCCGAATACCTTTTATTTTCGTCGACTGCTAAGTATTTGGCTGAAGTACATGCTCGAGAGACACGCTTTTTTTATTCTCATGAAGCTAGCACGCAAATTGATTTAGAACAGAGCAGTTCAGTCTATAATGTCTAGTTCTAGTTAAGCTAGCTCTGTTTAAATGAAGAAAACTTTTCTGGGGTAGGATGGGTAGAAGGGTTAGCTCGAGTTGCCCGCCTCCTCTAGCTACCTGGCGAGCCATATTTTGCCCACACTTCCTTACAAAACGTGGGGAACGAAGCGTTGACCCGAAAAACATGAGTTGGTTCGTCTCGAAGGGCATTGTCTCCTATTGTAAACACTTTGGATCGCCCACTCGATTAAACGGTTAGATAATAGAGTGATTTAGCTACGGGAAAGCGCGCGGAAAGGACTCAACCCAACTTTCGGAGCTCAATTTGTCGCGGCTGTTTGCCTAACAAGAGCATGCGCGAGCGTAGATTTAGTCATTGGCTCCTCGTCCACAGAGGTCGCCGTTTATTTTTAAGCCTAGTGGCTCTGGGGACGAGAATGTACATAAAAAGCTCCTCGGCTGGAAGGTTGACCCTTTTTTTCGGGACAACTTTACAGATATAGCAGAGACTACTCTTACGGACAGGGGCGTAGCCAGCATTTCGACTACTTGTAGGCCTCCGGCTGACTTTCGTTTCCACATATGCTAAAAATTGCACGCACGAGAAGAACGCCCTGACCTCACAAACACTTTGAGCTCTTAAGCTTTTTAGCTCACCCCAACAACGCATAATTTATTACGTACGTCCGATTTTGTTTCATCGCTCATAAGATTACAGGCGAAATTAGACTTCATTCAGTCCTATTACACCAGATCATAGACATTACACAGTACACACACCTATTTGCAAATCACCCAAGAGAATAAAAATCATTTAACAGATGTGGGCTTAATATAATAACCTAGTCTTCACCGGTTAGATAACAGAGTGATTCAGCCACAGAAGGGGAACTTTAGTTGAAGAGACGTACTGGAAAGCGCGCGGAAAGGACGGAACGGTGCTCAATTTGCCGTGGCTGTCCGCCACTGTCTGCCTAACCAGAGCATGCGCGAGCTTTGCTTTAGTGGATTGGCTCCTCGTCCCCAGAGCTCGTCGTTTATTTTTAAGTACACTGCGAGCAGTCTCTCTTTTGCTCGAAAATCTGTAAGAACGTTAGAAATGGCAATACCTTTTAAATGAGGACGTTATTACAACCGGAAAACAGTCGTGACCCTTGGCGGGTATCATATAAAGTAATCAATTAAAAAAAACTGAGACTAAAACATGAAAGATGTATCCCATTAAATAAAAGATTACCAAAACACACTTGATTCCTTCAGATCTGTGGAAGCTTGGGGCAAACAACTCAATAAAATACGAAAATATACTTTAATATCACTTGATCAATACAGGTCTACCGTAGTTCAAGTCATGGACACAAGTGCTGTGCACGGGTAGCCGTCGATGAAGCCGTCACAGCCACAAAAGACCTAAACAATGCGTTTGCAGGCTTATGTGCAGATAAAGTACAAGCAAATATAAAAGTTCAAGGTTCCACTAGTACATGTACATATTACATTACTACTACTGCTTCTGCTACTGCTATTGCTACGATACTACCGTCTGATGATACTTAAATCTTTGAGCTCTGTTACAATGATGTTTTAGACTATACTTCTCATTGTAATCACCAAAGTAAATTGAGGCAAAGGTCATTGAGTAACTACCCGTATATCTATGCAGTATATTTATTGTAGTTTACTAAATGGAACTTCCAATATTTTCTGTCGAGTGATACCATTGTTTTCACACTGGCGGCTTTTCCGTGAACCATTACGAATTTGGAAAGAAAAAACTTTACTCCTGCTTTTTGCATTAAGTTGTTGCAACATAATTGCTGCGCAACGAGTTTTGTGCGCGGTTGGAATTAGCGAGCAACAACGCTATGCAATTCGTAAACCAATGCCCGGAAAGTTGCTCTGGCGGTTTAGTATGTCCCATATCACTGTACCTTTATTTAAAAAACAAATTTTAGTGCATGCTTAGGAATTTACCAAGTGTAACAGGTACCTCTCCCATTGCCAAATAAGGACTGCAAAACTTTTTTACAGCTTTCGCGCAGATGCATTTTAACTTCATTTGTTTCCTCTCACACAGAATCACGCGAGCTTCCTCAGTTCGAGCCATGTCCATGGGTGTTTTGCCATCGTTGTTCACAAAATCATGATGAGCGCCTCCATCCAACAAAATCTGCAACATGTCAGTGAAATGTTGAGTGTCGTTGTGCCTGGGCATAAAAGTGACTGCCATGTGCAATAGAGTATTTCCATTTTGATCGACGGTGTTTACGTCGCACCCTGCCTCCAAAAGAAACTTCACTTCATCTGTGTGATTTTCACCCATGCCATGCGACCTTACATATTTTCGTAACAGTGAATTACCATGAGTATAACTAGTAGCATAGCCACAGAACCCATGACATTTAAGGGTTAAGCCATGAATACTCTTCACGAACTCAGACATACTCAACAACTCTTCACTATCTTTAAATTTGCTTACAATTGTAATTAGATCTGGCAAAGACTCATACAAAAGCTTGTGATCAAGATCTTTAAACTCTGGCATGTGTAGGACGTTTGTGTAATCGTGAATTAATTGATCAAGCAATTGAAGGAAAATCATTTCTTTAGGCAGATCATTTACCCTTTCGTGTAACGTGTAAATTAAGGCATTTAAAACAGCAATTATGTCTGACTGATTATGGTTTTTCGCAATATTAAAGGCGCGTTGTAAAACCCTAGGTAAGTGGCGAAATCATCGTTCTCGAAATAAAAAGGAACACATTCGGTAATTGGAAGTGTCAGTTCTACATTGTCTGCTCCAAGGATTCTTTCTCTAATAATGAGGCTTTCCATGAGTTGAGCATTCATATCACCTTCAATCTCAGCGAGTTCCTCGACTGTTTGACTCTCTTTCCTGAACTGATAGGCTTCAACAGGCTCCAGCACAGGCCTTTTTGGCAACAGATTTGAAGGATCAGCGAGTCTCTCGGCCATGCCACGCTTGATGTACTCGAATCCTTTCTCAACATCCTGGTCACTATTCATCTCCTGGCGACCAACAGTATAAGTTAGAATTGAAGCCCCAAGAAGCTCCAGAGCATCGCATCTCTGCTCTTTGGTTATTTCAGGTTGCCGGATTAAAAATTCTACCACATCTACACTGCGGCTATTACACGCCGTAAGAAGAGGTGTCAATCCTGAGGTGTTACTTTGATGGGAGGCACCAGCAATCAGAAGAGTATTCACAATTTGGGCGGGTGATGGTTCATCAGTTGAGGCAGCATAGTGAAGCGCTGTATCTCCATTTTCGTCTTGAGCATCCACATCAGCTCCCTGTTCAATGAGAAATTTTACTTTGTCTAAATAACCGTTCCAACTAGCAAGCATCAGCGGGGTGGCTTGTTCAAGGTTTCTTGCGTTAATATCAGCTCCATTTTGAATGAGAAAACGCAAAATGTCAAGCGCAAAGTCCGAAGCCGAGGTTATAGCATATAAAAGAGCGGTAAAGTCATCAACGTCTTTTAGATGCATGTCAGCACCGCGTCTCATGAGATATCTTACTACATCCATGTTCGAGTCGTCATCACAAGCCATCATCAACGGGGTCACATCCCTCAAATTCACTGCATTGACATCAGCGCCGTTTTCGACCAAGCAGATCACGACTTCATACATGGAGCTTACAGCGGCTAAGTGAAGCGCGGTGAAACCATAGTCGTCTTTCAGGTTGACGTCAGCGCCTTGATTGAGAAGAAACCTCACTGCTCCAAGCTGTTGCTTCTCAACTGCAACCATTAAAGGCGTGGAACCAAATCCAAGTGTGGCTGCATTTATCTGACTTATATCCGCTGCTTTTTCAATTAGTGTTCTTAAACATCTTATGTGTCCAAATCCAGCAGCTAGGGGCAACGAAGAACAGCATCTCCGAGGAAAGCGATCACAGAACTCACCCATTTCTTGTAAAAATCAGCGATTGAAGAAACCACGTGCACGTTTCCTGACTTTATTTTCATTTAAAAAAGTGAGCTGTTCAAGTGGAGTTAATTTATACAATTGAAAGCATCAAAAGTACATTTGGGAATGTATATGCGAAAAGGTGCCAATGATTGTATTTGTGATGTGCTGAAGAACTATGTAAGTAAGAGATAAAGCCCGAGAACGGAGGTATTAATTCATATACATGTGTAGGGATTAACACCGACGTTCGAGGTATTTATCAAACTTATTTCATGATATTATTCCTGATAGATCTTTATAAAATGGAAAACACATGTGTCTGTCTTAATATTACAAAAACTAAATCGTATTTTCGGTCCCTGTTTTTCCATGATTCAATAATTAAGACCTTTTGTTCAAGAGAACAAAGTACTAGTCAAGTGCACGCTCACACCTTCCGGCTTAAAATAAAACAATGAAAGTTGCAAAATTGTGGGATATTGACAAGGTTTTGAGAAACGTTTTGTGGCGTCCTCAAGGGAGTTTGTTTTGTATTTTTTGGTTTCTTTGTTAGGTTTTTGAAAATTTTATCAGCGTGTTTGATTATTCAGTAGGTCGGTCCATGCTTTCACGTTATCATGGAGCTCACCGACAGCGAAGAGGAGCTTTTTCTGACAGAAAATTTTTTTCGCAAGAAGTAATGGAACCTAATTTTAGCATGGGAAGGACAGACAGATCCACAGAAAACTTCAGCAGACCGTAGAATGATTGCTATCGTCGACGATGAAGAAAGGCATCTCGAATACCGCAAATGATACACGAATCTTGAACATATGGTGGGCAGTCCGTATCTGGTTTGAGTCAGCGGAGGAACGGGCTTAGCACGGTGGTTGGTGTGCCTGTGTCACTTGCTCTTAGGTGTGTTTTTCAATACTGATCTCTAAATCTTAGCTCGTACCACTCAGTCAATCCCCCATACCCAGGAGTAGAATGTTGTTATACTCTATGCTGGGACAAAGATTCCTAATTGTTATACTCTTTCCCAGGGGGAAGTTAATATGTTCAGATGTCATGTCAGTAATCGCACCAGACCCTGTTATCCCCGAAGGGGGATGGGGGAGGGGGCGTACCCCTAACAGATCTTGCTGCTGGTGTGCCACACCCGATTCTCTTGATCGATCCTGACCCTATTTCGGACCAAAGCATACCGTTTTCTAGAATTGTTTTCAGACCTGGATTCCTCCAACCCTTTATCTTGTTCAGGTGAAGTAAAAGTCGGTTTAAGCATTCTTAACTATGAGTAACATTCGACACGGGACGTTGTCACTACCGACATTTATTGCGTGCCGAACTCTGAGAAGGGGATTTGGGTTTTTAATTCAATCATCATCGTTTCTTGTATCGGTTCATTGAAAAAACCGGCTACGTATTTTTACCATTTAATCTACAACAAAAAGCAAGGCACGATTCCGTAAGTAAAAATTTCATTTTTTCAGGACTGTAATTACATTTAAAGAAGTTTCAGTAAAGGCGAACGAGATTAAAATCCCTCATTGCCTGAACAATAATTCACAGCAGGGGCCGCAGTAATACGGCTCCTGTTCACAATCAGTTAATGTTTCCTTACGGCTATGCTAAACAGTATTTTTTACCAAATTTTAAACTTAAAACAGTAAACTGATCATTACGACAGGAGAGAGTGAGAGAAAAAATAAAGAAAGAACAAAAATAAAGTGGTGAATTTTACTGGCCCGATATTTCGGTTTCCAACACAAACCTTCAACGGGGGCTATAAAAGAAACATGAACACAGACAAAATATGAACGTTGCATAATAGCAGACAGAAAATGATAGGCTACTAAAAAACAAATGTCACTAATTAAGTTCATCACGTTTATTTTTTACCATGAGGTTCTAAAGTCATAGCTTTGTTAATGGTTAAGGGTTAATGAGGTGAGCCTCTCGTGCCTTTCTGACAGAGTCACTGTTGCTACGGATTAGTATTTTTTATACTATTTTCTTTTTTTTCTCCTGGCGTTAAGCTCCATGCAATCCACTTTCTGGTAGCCTGCGTGGCAGACGCAAAAAGGGGAGGGAGAGGGGGAGGGAGAAAAGCACGAAAGAGGGGAAAGGGAAGGGAGCCCCTCTCTCCCCTACCCCCCTCCCTTTTTCCCGTTTTCCCTATCCCCTACCCCTCTTGACGCCTGCTACGCAGGCTACTTTCTGGGCGCGGAAATTGTTGCTGATCGACCAGAAAAGCGCTTTAAACTATTTTTGAATTAGTATCAAAGCAGAGAAATCAAATGATTATGAAACTGTTTATGTGATAGGTGCCCTGTCGGGAAATCTTCCCTTCTCCTTGACAACCATGTCTGCGCCTGGAGCGATTACTGCACGGTACTTTCCACGAGAGAGCACGCGAGGCTACCTTGCAAGGCGAGGAAGGCTCGCGATCAACACGCGAGGTTTGGAAAGTATGAAATCTCTCCTCGTTGGCAAGTAGAGAAACCTTTCTCTCAAGGGTCAAACGGGATATTACATATTTCCTTCCTGTTAAATTGAACACTGGGAGTATTTATCCAAAGTATTTCCGGTCACATATGGCCTGCGGTTGCAGACACTCTATCTACCGTCACCGCCTGGATAGACCATACAGTGGTTTTGACGATGCGTGGACAGGCTAGTCAAATAGGATATAATTTTAATAGTATAAACTAGAAAGATCTTGATAGAACACTTTTTGATATCTTATCTTATAACTGTTTTAATGCTCTTTCTTCTCAAAGGTGTTTGCAAAGTCAATCGTTTTTTGATATTTTCTTGCCTTGAGGCGAGAGATTTGCCGCGGAAATGACTGTTTATTCAATTTTGTGATTAAAATAAAACAAGTGCTCGGCTGGCAACAGACAGTTTTTTTAATCATCCTGCTGTGAGTGCTATAAAGTGGCCGTTTGTTCGGTTTCGGTGCCTGAGGACTGAATTCATTAAATGTTTTACAGATTCTGATCAAAGCTTTACCTGTTCAGGCTATTAACCCTAACTTATTGTACTTAACTTATTATACTTCTGCATGTCAACTTTTTTTTTTACAACACGTTCTGTGTCTATAAGCACAAACGTGCCGAATTAACAGATCTTCAAGTGCTTTGTTGATTTGTCTCCGGAAGTTTTTGGTGTTCTTTGGTCAAAACGTGATCTGGCCGGCCGATCCTCAAATGACTGACCCCATGTCTCTCCCAGCTGCATGAGTTGCCGAACAGACACGATCACCGCAGTCAAACGAAAAAAAAACTGCAAAAGCTGAGCGAAGTACTTCAAAACTTAAGTGACTTCTTTCACTTCTGAAAGTTTAAGGTACTCCCAATACCTGGCTTGTTGCGTTTACGAAGTCCTTCGCTTGTCTTGTCTGTCGCGTAGTTGGTTCATTTTCCTGTGTGACTTTCTTTATGATTTTCATCGCAAAGGGATTTTTTAACGAAAAAAAGCTCAAAATCTTGAGAAAATTTATAGATAGTTATGTTACGAACTAGTTTCTATATACATCTTTAGCCTGCGTGGCAGGCATCGCAATGGGTAGGGGATAGGGAGAAAGGGAAAAATGAAGGACGTGGAGGGGGATTGGGGAGGGAGGGTAGTTCAGAAAATGGTGGGCGCCTGAAGGTGGGCGGAATACAAAAACTCCAG